TTCAGACAGCCTGTTACCTGATCAATAGGAGTCCATCAGTTCCGTTGGCGTTTGAAATCCCAGAGAGAGTCTGGACCAACAAGGAGGTGTCCTACTCGCATCTGAAGGTGTTCGGTTGCAGAGCTTTTGCACATGTACCAAAAGAGCAGAGAACAAAGCTGGATGATAAATCTATTCCCTGCATATTTATCGGATATGGAGATGAAGAGTTCGGGTACAGACTGTGGGATCCTGTAAAGAAGAAGGTCATCAGAAGTAGAGATGTAGTCTTCCGAGAAAGTGAAGTTGGAACTGCTGCTGATATGTCAGAAAAGGCGAAGAATGGTATAATTCCTAACTTTGTTACTATTCCTTCTACTTCTAACAATCCCACAAGTGCAGAAAGTACGACCGACGAGGTTGCCGAGCAGGGGGAGCAACCTGGTGAGGTTATTGAGCAGGGGGAGCAACTTGATGAAGGTGTCGAGGAAGTGGAGCACCCCACTCAGGGAGAAGAACAACCTCAACCTCTGAGGAGATCAGAGAGGCCAAGGGTAGAGTCATGCAGGTACCCTTCCACAGAGTATGTCCTCATCAGTGATGAGGGGGAGCCAGAAAGTCTTAAGGAGGTGTTGTCCCATCCAGAAAAGAACCAGTGGATGAAAGCTATGCAAGAAGAGATGGAATCTCTACAGAAAAATGGCACATACAAGCTGGTTGAACTTCCAAAGGGTAAAAGACCACTCAAATGCAAATGGGTCTTTAAACTCAAGAAAGATGGAAATGGCAAGCTGGTCAGATACAAAGCTCGATTGGTGGTTAAAGGCTTCGAACAAAAGAAAGGTATTGATTTTGACGAAATTTTCTCACCTGTTGTTAAAATGACTTCTATTCGAACAATTTTGAGCTTAGCAGCTAGCCTAGATCTTGAAGTGGAGCAGTTGGATGTGAAAACTGCATTTCTTCATGGAGATTTGGAAGAGGAGATTTATATGGAGCAACCAGAAGGATTTGAAGTAGCTGGAAAGAAACACATGGTGTGCAAATTGAATAAGAGTCTTTATGGATTGAAGCAGGCACCAAGGCAGTGGTACATGAAGTTTGACTCATTCATGAAAAGTCAAACATACCTAAAGACCTATTCTGATCCATGTGTATACTTCAAAAGATTTTCTGAGAATAACTTTATTATATTGTTGTTGTATGTGGATGACATGTTAATTGTAGGAAAAGACAAGGGGTTGATAGCAAAGTTGAAAGGAGATCTGTCCAAGTCATTTGATATGAAGGACTTGGGCCCAGCACAACAAATTCTAGGGATGAAGATAGTTCGAGAGAGAACAAGTAGAAAGTTGTGGCTATCTCAGGAGAAGTACATTGAACGTGTACTAGAACGCTTCAACATGAAGAATGCTAAGCCAGTCAGCACACCTCTTGCTGGTCATCTAAAGTTGAGTAAGAAGATGTGTCCTACAACAGTGGAGGAGAAAGGGAACATGGCTAAAGTTCCTTATTCTTCAGCAGTCGGAAGCTTGATGTATGCAATGGTATGTACTAGACCTGATATTGCTCACGCAGTTGGTGTTGTCAGCAGGTTTCTTGAAAATCCTGGAAAGGAACATTGGGAAGCAGTCAAGTGGATACTCAGGTACCTGAGAGGTACCACGGGAGATTGTTTGTGCTTTGGAGGATCTGATCCAATCTTGAAGGGCTATACAGATGCTGATATGGCAGGTGACATTGACAACAGAAAATCTACTACTGGATATTTGTTTACATTTTCAGGGGGAGCTATATCATGGCAGTCTAAGTTGCAAAAGTGCGTTGCACTTTCAACAACTGAAGCAGAGTACATTGCCGCTACAGAAACTGGCAAGGAGATGATATGGCTCAAGCGATTCCTTCAAGAGCTTGGATTGCATCAGAAGGAGTATGTCGTCTATTGTGACAGTCAAAGTGCAATAGACCTTAGCAAGAACTCTATGTACCATGCAAGGACCAAACACATTGATGTGAGATATCATTGGATTCGAGAAATGGTAGATGATGAATCTCTAAAAGTCTTGAAGATTTCTACAAGTGAGAATCCCGCAGATATGCTGACCAAGGTGGTACCAAGGAACAAGTTCGAGCTATGCAAAGAACTTGTCGGCATGCACTCAAACTAGAAGACAGTGCTACCTCCTCTGGATGAATGAGACTGGAGGGGGAGATTGATGATGTCCATCTCATTGAAGAAGTATTAGACATGTGCCTAATAAGAGTTTTCTTTGGTTTGGTAGCCAACCTTGTTGACTTGGTTTGGTTGGTAGCCAACCTTGTTGAATTAGTTTGGTTTGGTAGCCAACCTTGTTGAATTTCTTTGGTTTGGTAGCCAACTTTGTTGAATTGTGAAAAGTGTGTGTAAATTGTCAAATATTGTAGGCTTTAGAGGGTGAAGCTTTGGCTATAAAAGGAGAGCTTCAACTCTCATTTCTACACACCAACAAAGAGAGAAAGAAAGAGTGAGGTTTCACAGACAAGGTATAAGAAAATAGTCTGTGAGGAAAATAGAGAGTGAGCGATATTGTAGTGAGGTGGGAATATCAAAAGAGGGTTATTTCTTTTGAGTGTTGTAGTGGTCTTTGGAGTATTTACCTCCGACCTACAAAGTGTAAAATTCCTTACTATAGTGATATCAGTTGCTCCTCTCGGGGTCGTGGTTTTTTCCCCTTATTCAGAAGGGTTTTCCACGTAAAAATCTTGGTGTTATTGTTACTCTTTTATTCTTGTTAATTACCGTATCTTGGTGCTACATTATTATTCCGCTTTATTACCGTGAATATTATTTTGGTAAGGGGTTTATTCCCAATAAACAGAAGAATGCAAAATGAAGTTTGATTAAATAACTATTTATAGAGCGTGACTCATCATTTGTTTGTTCACCTAAGAAGAGCTACAAATGCCCAATCTCCACGTTCCATTTGGGAAAATCCAGTTATATTTTTCGTTTCTTTCCTTTATTATATGTTACAACTTACAAACCATTAACTAGGAAATTACTTTTAATTTTAATCTCAACGTTGTGTGCTAATAATGTAGCAACGAAGATGTATTAATTAACGTGTGTTATCTGACCAACTTTTACTGTCAAAATTTACAAACTATATTAGAATATTGTTTAAACAATTTTTGTTTTGACGGATTTGTCATTGAAAATATTTTTTTTCTTTTCTGTGATTTTACTACTACTTGTTTAGCATTGTGCAAAAGTTATTTTACTGACAAAGAAATGTGCAGATGACTAATGAGTAAAAAAAATAAATGAGAGAAGTGAGATTCCCAAAAGGGATGATATGGTGGTTAAGTTTTCAAGAGATACTAGTTATTTATACCATGCGTACTTAGCACAACACCTAAATGGGCAATAATGGACGAAATATACCAAATTGTAAATGGGGAATAAATAATAATGCCAACTCACTATTCAAAACCCCACTCACCCAATTGAATATTATAAGTTGTACTTAATAAATCTAATGGACATGATTATCTGGTGAACAACAAATTAAAGGGAAAGCAAATAAACTAATGGGGAAAAAAGTTTTAGCAATGACAAGACCTAATTAGAAAGAATATGTAACACATGTAAATGAAAGGGTAATACAGTATAGAAAAGGAAAGAAGGAGGTCAGTTCCTTGCAGCCGACGTATTTCTTGGTTTTGCCTCGGAGCTACGCTCGGTGTTTGTTTTTTTATGTAATAAACAGGGTAAGAATGACTCATAAACAAGTCGAGAAGCAGCGGATTCTAAAATTTTAAATTAAAGTTTCTAATAAATTTACATATATTAAAATTGTATATAAAAAAAATAATAGCGTTCAAACCACATATAATTTGAGGCGAATACATATTAAATCTTATGGATACGTCGAAGTCATTACATTTTTTAAAGTCACATTCACAATATCATATTTATTAAAAATGCAAAAATTTATTTATATGATACTTTGATTGAACCTAGCCAATCAAGAATTCTCATGTATAACAGATAAAAGTGGATGAAATGAGAATGTTGAAATTGATGTGCGGGCATACCAGGTTAGATAGAATTAGAAATGAAGTTATCGGGTACAAGGTGGGCGTGGCCCATGTGGAGAATAAGATGCGGGAGACGAGACTTAGATGGTCCAGGCATGTTAAGAGGAGATGCACTGATGCTCCGATGAGGAGATGTGAGAGGCTGGCGTTGGAGGGCCAACGAAGAGGTAGAGGCAGACCGAAAAAGTATTGGGGAGATGTGATTAGGCGAAAAATGACGTTGCTCCAGCTACTTGAGGACATGACCATAGATAGGAAAGAGGTGGAGGTTGAGAATAAAGGTAGAGGATTTGGTAGATGAGTGTTGTCCTTTTTTGTTACAACTTACAATAGCTTTGATACATCTCTTAGAGTCCTTCGAGTATTTTTTTTAATCCCTAGATTGTTGTTATTACTTGTTGCTGCATTGTTTCGATTTTTTGATTGCATTACTTAGTGTTAATTTGTATTTTCGTTTCGGTTGTCATATTGATTTGCTTGTTATTGTCCCTTTTCTTTTTTCTTCGTGAGTCGAGAACCTACCGGAAATAACCTTTCTGCCTTTAGGGGTAAAGTCTACGTACACTCTAATCTTTCTAGACTTGTGAGACTACACTGAGTTTGTTGTTATTATTAATTGAACGTGTTATGTATATCTTAGATTCGCCACTCGCTATGACTTGTATGAGTGACATTTGGCTCAATTTTAGTGGTAATGAACACATAACATATATTTTTACATGCACTTGTATCATATATTAGTAATTAATTAATTTATTTATTAATTATAATAAATTAGTAGTATGATTTAAAGTAAATACTATCAAGTCCAACTAAATTTTGATCTTGTTAGATTAATTTTCATTGTCTCTTTTTCTCGCCCTTTCTCCAATCTTTATGTAAAATATGAAAAGAAACTTTTCTCAAGCCCACCCCACTGTCATCCTAATTCCTTACAAGTACCCATCATTTCTCTCACCCCCTCCACTTCCTCAAAGCCTAAACCCCCATCTCTCTCTCTCTCTTTCTCCAATAAATTCTCTCCCTCATATTGCCACTCTTTTTTCTCTGGAGAAAGAAAAAAAAAACAAAGCGTTACTACTGAAAAGTATTTCAAACTGGCGATCGACAACCAAGATATCACAATCCGTGAAATCAAGCCTAAGAACAGGCGTATCATGGTAAATTTCAAGAAATCATCTATCATTTTGGCTTCTGTTATATAGTGAAATTTCTTTTCTTTTGCTGACTCTTTCTTTTTCCTGGGTATAGGGACCTGATGAAGATGACAATAGGTGGCCTCTTTGGTTGAAGCCATTACTAAGTGAACGATTCTTTGGTCAATGCAAATTACACGCTGATTCCCATAAAAGTGAATGTAATATGTACTGTCTTGACTGTATTAATGGCCCTCTTTGCTCTCTCTGTTTAGCCCATCACAAAGACCATCGTGTTATTCAGGTTCGCCATTTTTCATCTAATGGAATCACAAAATTGCTCTGTTTTTGGCTTCTTCATTTTTTTAAACAGAGTTTCTTTTGGTGAAACAGATAAGGAGGTCATCGTACCATGATGTGATAAGGGTTAATGAAATTCAGAAATATTTGGACATTTCTTCAGTTCAGACATACGTTATCAACAGTGCTAAAGTTGTGTTCTTGAATGAAAGGCCACAGCCTAGGCCAGGCAAAGGGGTGACTAATACATGTGAAGTCTGTGAAAGAAGTCTTCTTGATTCCTTCAAATTCTGCTCTCTCGGTTGCAAGGTACAAAAATTTCCTAGTCCTTCTTGATTTTCCCATTAATTCTCTGTTCTCTTTCCTTATCAAAATATTTTCTTGCATTTAATTTGACTTTTATTGTCATTGAATTGAGGGCACCCATAAAATTCTTGATTGTGTACATTTCAATGTATTAGCTCAATGGTCATTTTTGCTGTGTGTCACCTCACTGGTCGATTGATTGGAAATATTTAGCATTTTCAAAGTATATCTCGGGAAATTAAAGAAAGTTGGATTTTTTGAGATTGGCAATTGATTATTGTTGCATTTATTGTATTTCCCAATAGGAGTAAAAAGTACTCATTAGATTTTAGTCTTGATTGTTCAAGGAGATTTCTAAACTAAATTGATTTACAGATTGTTGGGACCTCAAGTAATTACGTGAAGAAGCCAAAGAATTCGCCGGAGAAGAGGAGGACGCCGGCGACGGCATCGGAATCTGAAGAGTCTTACAGTAGTAGCAGCAGCAGCCATGGCCGGAGAAACAAGATTCAAAGTTTCACTCCGTCAACGCCACCTCCAACTTCTGCTAATTACAGAATGGCCAAACGCAGAAAGGGAATTCCTCATCGATCCCCAATGGGAGGACTATACATAGATTAGTATTTGCATCGCAGTCCTTCAATTTACATCTAAAATGCATATTGTCTATACTAATACAGCCTAGTTATCATAATAATGCAGCTCCTCAAAAACCCACCAAACACTAGTGCTTTCTCCAAAATGGCCAGTGTTTGTGAGCTCTTTCATCCATAAGAGATGTATTGTATAAATTGGAGGGGTGGAAGTTGAAATAAGAAAATATGAAAGGACTAATATAGTAAAGTTAGAAAGTGGGCTTAGAAAATAAGCTACTACTACTATAGTTTGATGAACTATTAGATAGACTGGCTTTTTAGTTGTTTATACCTAAGTTTTGATTGTCTCTTTCAGCCTGTGTAATCTAAAATGTAAATATATTGTAAATGGTTGGAATACTTAACAAAGTGTCGACATCTGGAATGAAGCTTTAGCATTATAATAGTCCCATTATAATGAAGCTTAACAAAGTGTCGACATCTGGAATGAAGCTTTAGCATTATAATAGTCCCATTATAATGAAGCTTAACAAAGTGTCGACATCTGGAATGAAGCTTTAGCATTATAATAGTCCCATTATAATGAAGCTTAACAAAGTGTCGACATCTGGAATGAAGCTTTAGCATTATAATACTTTTGTATAACTGATGACACTCTTCTATCTTTAAATTTTGTACTATTAATCATTTCTTTTTGTTCGTAATGGCATACTTTTTTATATGAATTGACATGACCGGCCGAAAACCACGCAATGTTAAAGAGTATTTTTGATATATTACATGCGTATATAGCATATCCGTAGTTTTCATTATCCTATTAAACTCCACATTTAATCAAATGCATCTAAAATGAAATAAAGTGACTCTCTTTTATGCTTATTTTAATTAGCTTGATGAAGGAGGTTTTCAAGATAAGCGGGAACATCCGTTTGAGCGCACTAAATACCAAGGGATCGTTTGGAAAATAAGTTGTTTCATAATTAATTATTTTAGAATTAATTACCTTACTTTTCTATGAAATAAAAATATTATAGTCCCAAAATTAATATCAAAATAACTAATTTTGAGATTAGTTATATCATAATTTTATTCTAATCAAATATAAAATAAATTAATATTATATTTATCAAGGTTAATTATTCCTTATCCATGGTATAAAACGAGCACTACCTCCATCTTAATAAGAAGGGATAAGTAACGACATCCCAAACCCAAAGTGGGGTCCAGCATAGGCAATTGGGTGGAAATGGTGGCGGCATCAAATAGTGCACGTGTCAGACGTTGGTTAGTGAAGAAAGTAAGTTGTCTTGGTTCGTGGAATCTAAAAATTAGGTCAGCCGCCCTTGCTGATATAAATAGGGTTTTCTTGGTGGAGGAGTTTTCATTTACTAGTATTAGTGGAGTTGGGATATATTTATGATTGTTGGATTGGACGGACATAGTCGCACATTGGGAAAGTTAGTTTTTCTGCATTTAGTTCTGTGCTTCTTCTTTATATTCATTCCCAACTTCGTCGTTTTGTGCAGATAGTAACAGATTTTATTTATAGCAACAATTGAGAAGCTAGTGACAATCCATGTCTCTTGCCGTTTTACATACACAAGTCTTTTCTTTGAGTCTTTGATTGATGAAAAGGAGATGAAAGTGCATTGTGGACCCGACGGCCTTTCTCATTCTTCAAATCAATACCTTCGTTTACTTTTATTTGGCATATATATTAAAAATAAATTTTTACTTTTATTTATTATTTTACGTATATTAAGAAAAAACAAATTCTTTTTTATATTATATTTATAGTATTTATTATTCATTTTAAATTATTTTCTCACATTTAATAAAATATGTATTAATTAACATGAGTATCATGATAAATTATACACTTCATTTATTATTTCTTAAGAGACGTAAAAAGTCAAAATGTGCTAAGTAAAACTGAACGGAGGGAGTATAATATTCACCTCGAAACGAGGCATTAGTTAATTTTTCCCAGTCTCATCTTTACTCTTCCAAGAAGATATGTATCAGTATCTCATTTCAAATAAGTGGTCACTAAGAATACTTTAATCAAATAAATATAAGACCAATGCTATCTTTTTTAATTTCTTGGTTCTCACGATTAAATCTGAATTTATACCGTGAAGTCATTGCAAGTAAAGCTCTTTCTAAACAAGGGCGATTTTAACTCTTGTTGGTATGATCAATGCTATCAAATAATTTTTAATAGATATTACTAAATCTTAAAAGGTATATAAAAAAAATTGGAGAGGTATGGTTGATGAACACTTAGCCACGTGAATTCTTGAGTTCTCTTCTGGGAGGAAGTAACAGATTAAAAGAAAGGATGACTTATCGTCTAATTAATATTGTTTGACTTCTATACAAAAAAAGGTACAAGAGAAATTCATATTATTAGATCATGTAAATTTTTTGTACTATATATCCCATATTAAACGTAAATCTTAAAAGTATCATTATGGGGTACATTTTTTCTCTTATCAAATCATTTACGTAACCAAAAAGGTTCATTTTCTTATAAAATATTATTTCTTCCGTCTCAATTTATGTTGCATTATTTGATTAAATATGAAGTTTAAGAAAGAATAAAAGATTTTTGAAACTTATTATCTAAAATAAGCCGTAAAATTTTTTGCTATAAAATAAAAAGTTTAAAGTTAAATTTTTTTTAAATAATATTCTTTTTAAAATATTTAAAGAGAAAAAGTATGATGCATAAGGGAGAGAATAGTAATTAAGAAGCCGTATAGTAGGGCATGAACATTATTGCATCCTTTTTGTTTAACCGTGTGAAGGGCGGGCAAAGGCATATTCTTGACTTTGACTTGCTTTATGTGAGCTTCTAGATTATTTGACTTTCGACTGCCAATTTCCCTGCTCGTAGACCCTTGACTTTTGTTTCCTCTCAGCTTACTCGTTTTCGCTTTTCCGATCTTAAGTACAAAAGTAAAGAAGAAATTATGATCAATATTTGAATACATCTCCTGATTTATGGGCTTCTTAGTTCATTTAAATGATACAATTAAACGAAAAAGAGGCTACATGAATCCACTTATGCGTCGAAGTAATGAGGGCATGCTTTGTGCTAATAAGGTTTATTATGTACAGCAGAGGCGGACCCATATGTATGGGTGAGAGGTCACCGGATCACGTAAACTTCGGTCGAAATCTTATACTCCCTCTGTTCCAGTTTAGGTTTATGTGAACCTATTTCGTTTTTCGTCTGTTCAAAAAGAATATTTACAATATTGGGCCTACATAGTTTAGTCAGACATAAGCTGACTCAATTGTATACCCGGCCCAATTCTTTACTATTTTCATTTTCATTCATTTTATTATCATTGTAATAAGACATAAAAGAGAACTTTCAGGAAATAAGAAGTACCAAGATATTTTCTCTCTTCTCTTTCTCTCTTCTCTCTCCTCGTTACTGTTAGGGTTCATCCCTTTTCATTTCTTCCAGAAAATGTGAGGTAATATCTTACATTAACATGGTATCAGAGCCTAAAATCAATCGATTTGGGCTCCGCTCTTCTCATCGATGGTAGTTTTATCGGATTCCACCGAAGACTTTGTTCCGTCAAATTTTGGTATTTTCATTTATGCTGGGTATTCGCTGATTTCTGGGTTTTTTCAGTGTCTGTTTGCGATTTCTGCGGTGTTTCTTCAACGTGTTTGGGTTAATATACACTAGTGGTCGTGTTTTGCTCGATCGACGATCAGTTGTATATTGTTGCTGGTTTCCTCAATAAATTTCAAGGCTTTTGCTCCTTTAGGCCGCAAAGGAGGACGGTAACCCTTCTTATCACAGTAATATTGATCGAATTTTGTTCTACTTAGGATTTATCTGTAAACTTTACAATTCTAGGGTTTTCAGTATGGGTAGTCCTGAAGTAAGTTTGTCTTCTACGATTGGGGGTTTTGATGAATTCATTATCCCTATCTCTCATCCCTTTTATGTACATCCCTCGGATAGTCCGAGCACTCATCTGGTGTCTCCCCTCTTTGATGGAACTGGTTTTGTCAATTGGCGTAAAAACATGTTGACTGCACTTTCTGCCAAAAATAAGCTAGGTCTCATTACTAGTAGAATATCCAAACCACAATTTGATTCACCTTACTATCAATTTTGGGAAAGATGCAATGACCATGTCATTGCATGGATAACTAATTCATTGTCTAGGGACATAGCTAATAGTGTCATGGGTTTTGATACTGCTAAGGACATCTGTACTGATATAGATGAAAGATTTGGTTCTTCCAATGGTTCCAAATACATCCAGATCCAAAGGGAACTTAGTGCAGCCTCCCAAGAATCCTTAGATATTGCAACTTACTTTACTAAATTGAGAGGTCTTTGGGATGAACTTACCACTGCTTATGTTGGACCTGTGTGTTCTTATGGTGCTTTACCTGAGTTCATTGAGGAGCACAAGATATATCAGTTCCTTAGTGGTTTAAATAAATCTTACTCCACCTGTAAAACCAATATTCTGATGATATCATCCCTTCCTTCCTTGAGTAAAGCATACTCTATGCTTCAACATGATGAAAAACAGAAAGAGACTTCTGCTCCCATTCCAGTTTTTCAAATGATTTTGTCTCCTTTACTGTTGCAACTGGTCCTATCAACAACCATAAAGGTTACAATCAGAGGGTTCAATTTGAGTTAAAGAAACTTTCTGGTCCTTCTCCTAATGTATTATGCAAATACTGAAAGAAACCTGGACACACCATTGATAAATGCTACCGGCTACATGGTTTTCTATCATATTTCAAGTTTACAAAGAGTAGGAGATTTGCAGCCTGTGTTCATTCTGAAAGTCCTGGTACAAGTTCCAGTTTTCTCAATCCTAGTCCTTCTAAAGTTTACCAAGGAACAATACCAACATCTTATGATCCTGCTTCAGAATGTCAACATTGTTACTCCTACTTCCCATCTTGACATCATTGCTGCTGACGACACTGGATTTGCCAACTTTGCAGGTGCGTACAACCACCCTGAGGTCCATTCTGCTGCATTTCATGCATCTATAGTGTCAAATTTAGGTAGAAATCCTTGGATCATTGACTCTGGTGCTATAAACCATATGACACCCCACAAACATCTCCTTCACAATCTCAAACCTTTAACCTCACCTTTCCTAATAACCTTACCTAATGGATATAAGGTAAAAGTCATATCTACTGGATCCTTAATTCTCAGTCCTGATATAACATTACACAATGTCCTCTTAGTTCCATCTTTTCACTTCAATTTGATTTCTGTGCACAAATTACTTCTACAGTTCACATGCATTACAGCTTTCACTATTTACAATTGTATTTTACAAGGCCTTTCTCTGAGGAGGCCTCTGGTAATTGGTAAGGCTGCAAATGGACTGTATTTTCTGCATTCAGCTGGTAGATCCTCTCCTGTTTC